GGGGGGGAGGGGGGCGCTGTCGTGCCCACTACAGAAGCTCGTGTCGCCGATTGGCAGCGCGCGCGGTCCGCATGCCAGCAAGCCGGCCGGGCGCTTCGCAGAGGGGCGGACGCCCTCGCGTCGGTGTTACGCGCGACCCCTGAGATGGATGACGGTTGCTCCGGCGGCGAGACGTCCCCACCACAAGCCCTGGCCTCGCTCCCGCACCCAGGCTTCCAATTGTGGGGAGACAGCCCTCGTTTCTCTGCCAACAAACGATCTATCCTTGTGCTGATGCTACGGTGCATGCATCCTCACCCGCGCACGCGTCTTCTACTTTGTGTGATGGGCTGCACCACTTGCACCCCAGCAGCCAAACACGTGCGGCGCCACGAGATCACCGTGCCCTGCATGTCCGCCGCCTTGCCAGCGGCCTCCGCTCGCTCCCGCTCGCTCAAGCCCACCAACTCGACCTACTCAGGGCGGCAAACGGGTCAGGCACGGTCCAAAAGAATGTACTCAATAATTAGTTCTACCGCAGCAGCCACGGTGTTTGTTCGCCTGTGCCGGTGGTCATGCCCAGCGGGGGCGCCGCGTGCACGTCCAGCTGCGCCGCATGCCAAGTAAGCCTCCCAGCAGGCTAGGGCCGCAGGCCAAGGCCATACTCAGCCCGAGTGGGTTGCTTGGCAAAGGAACATCGGCAGCCCATGGCAGGTGTGGTGCCACGTCAGCCCACCTCCTCGATGACTACGAGAGGGCTGCCATCCCCAGACCGCCGTGGCGCGCACAGCAGCGCCTCACCGCCCGCGCTGCGTCGCAGGGTACGCAGCACCACGTAGCGGCCCCCGCCGAGTAGCCGTGGTGGATGCTCGGTGGCCATGTTGCGGCCCGGTGGCCGCTGCGCCGTCGACCTTTGCACTAGTGCCACGTCGGGCGCAGCGCCCATCAGCTAGGGGCGATCGGGAAGCGCAGCACACCGCAGCTGAACTTCAACGTGAATTTGAACGCGGGGTCCTTGTATCATAAGTGGACACAACACGGTAGAGCAAGATCATTCACGCGAGTGCTGCATGCTCAAGTCACGAGGTGGACGCGCTTATGCAATCAAATGAAAGCCGGAAAGTGCATGTGTTGATCGAAGAGGGTACCGAATGTCCCGCAGTCTGGTCAAACATTGCTGCTGATGACAGCAGCCTCGCAGGTCACGTGCCCCCAGCGCGCGGTGCCAGATCATCGCGGCAGCAGCCTGTCATGCCATGAGCAGGGCAACTTTGTAGATTGCTGCATCCATACATATCTCATGGCAGCGCCCAGACTCGCTGCCTTCCACAACGCATGTCCGCCCACCTGTTGCGGCACCTCCCCCCCCCATCGCCATTGCGTCACCTCTGTACTTGATGAGTTAGAATGCTGTCATGACATCATGTGCCGTGGTATCATACAACGCGCACACAGACTTGCCAATGCTTGAGATGACAGACGTACGGACCCTGCCTGCCAGGGTGAAACCCTCAAATACTGATGTTGACCAGGGAGCAGTGCTTTGGTGGCTTGCGGCAGCCTAAATTACCCCACAACATGAAACTTGATTGGTTGGGAACCGTACCTCCCTCGCTTTGGCAATCCATGGGGAGTGCATGCCCCTGCTGCGAGGCAAATCACTGTCAGAGGGCCATCAACCACCAAGGCCCAGGTGTGGCAGAGTTCGCCACAACCATCAGAACCAGGGCCTGGCAAAAATCACATCCAAAAAACAGCGCACACACACTCTCACACACACACACACACATACACACACACACACACACGCGCAAACACAAGCATCAACGATTAGGGAACAACAATCAACCGTAACGTCACTGCAGCGAAAATCCCTGGGCCAGTCAGTGCAGGAGGTCGGCGCCGCGGGCGGCCTACGCGTGGCGCTTGCGCCGGAGAGGGCGCTCGGTCCTTTCAGGGCGTGCATCCTTGCAGCAGCCCTGAACACCCCCCTCGGGGCGGCTCCCGTGCAAGCGGCAGGCAGGGCCGTCAAAAGCATGCGTGGGCGTGTGACTCCACCACACCAAGGGGGTGACGCGCCGCCAGGGAGCTGCAACGGCCCGCCCCATCCACACAACCTTGACCCACACCGCATAAAAAACGGCTGGCGCCGCGCAGCCGTTGCCGGCTCGGGGGATGTGATTCGGCCGGTCAAACGTGCGAGCTGAGGGCAAGAGGCCGGGTGCTGCCGCGTGTTTCTTGGCACGTGTTTGGATGCGCACACTGGCGGCGCAGGCGGCCGCGCAAGGGGTGCGAGGGGCGCAGCCGCAGGACCAGGGGGCCTGGCAGCGGCAAACAACGGCCGCCCCAACTATGGGCTCGAAAAAAGGAACCGGCACCTCTTGTGAGCGGCGCCCTCGCATCTGCAATCCGCAGCTTGCGGCCAGGTCGCGAGCGCGTGAGAGCATGCGCACGCGTGCAGCAGGCGTGACGCGTGCCTTGTCGGCCGCCAACGCCAGCCACTGCGGTGCGCTTCGGGTGGAGTCTTGTGTGCGGGGAGCCGGGGCGCGCCGCACAAACCATACGCCGCAATAGGCGAGTTCAGAGACTGGCGCGGCAAGCCGCTTTGCTGCTGGCCCAACATTAGGGGCGCGGAGGGCGCGCAGCCCCCGACCAGGCTGTCAAGCAGCCGGTGTGCGCCGCGGCACGGCGCGCGGCGGGGCTGCAGCTCGCGAATGGGCGCTGCGCTGCGCCGCAGGCGGGGCGCCGGGCGAGGCGGGGTGCTGCGGCAAGCCGTCGGCGGCCCTTTCCTGGTCGGTGGGGGCTGTTGAAAGGTGGGCTCTGGGATTTTCGTCTCCTCCATCTGCACCTGTCCCCCATGACGATGGGGGAGGGACAGGTCTGGTGCAACGCAAGGAAAGGTTTGATTTTGCTCTTTGATAGGGCTAAGAAAGGGGCGTGGTGCGTCGAGCACACACAAGGGGGCTTGCAAGCTGGGCCGCTGCAGCCACAGCCGTGCTCGGCGGGGCGCGGCGTGGTGTCGCCCTGAAGCCACGCGCACCCTCAGAAGGGCGCCTCGCCGCGCGCCATCAGGCCGCCCGCCGCTGGGCAGCCCCTGCTGCCCGGCGTCGCCGGGCGCGAGGAGGCTGAGGAGGACGGCTCCTGCGGCCGCCGGAACAGCATGCTGTTGGTGTGGGGCAGCGAGATGCCCCGGTCGTGCAGCCGCACCACGACCACCGATATGTTGTCGGTGCTGCTCTGCCGCACGGCCCGGTCGACCAGCGCGCGCGCCGCGGCGCCCGCGTCGCCGTCGCGCGCCATGCAGCGGCGCGCGGCCGCGACGGCCTCGGAGTTGTCGACCTTGTCCCACAGGCCATCAGTAGCGAGCAGCAAGATGTCGTCATCCTTGGATAGGATGACAGTATGGATGTCGGGCATGTGGGTGAAGGCGCGCTTTGTGGGGTCAAGCTTCAGGTGCTGGCTGCCTATGGCGCGTGCCACCGCGAGCTCCCCGTAAAGGTACCCGTCCGACGTCACCACAGGGCTGCCCGGCGCGTCGAAGCAGCCGCAGCCGCCGCCGTCGTCGTCGCCGCAGCAGCTGCCGCCGCCGTCGCTCCCGTCCACCTCCGCAGCCGCCGCCGCTGCCGCGGCGGCGGCGGCTCCGCCGAGCGCGCCGCCCCCGAACGACGCGCCGAGTGCATGCTCGCGCGCGATGCGCCGCGCCTCAGCCTCGTCGCAGGGCTTGTGGTCCGTCGTGATCTGGACAAAGTCCGCCTTGCGCGCCAGCACCGCGCGGCTGTCGCCCACGTTGGCCACGTGGAGCCTGTCGTCCAGCAGCAGCGCGGCCAGCAGGGTGCTGCCCGCGTTGCAGCAGGCCGCCTTGAAGCGCGACAGGATCTCCTCTTCGGCCTGCTGCACCGCGCCGGCCAGCGCGGCGCCGGGGACCGACGGCGGCACGCCCGCGCCGGGGCGGGGGCGGTTGGGTACTACGCCGCCGATCCCTTCGCCGTCGGCCCTCTCATCGGCCTCTGCGGCGCCGGCGGCCGCGAGGCCAGACAGGAGGTGTGCCTGCAGGTGGAGCAGCAGGTGCTGCTGCAGGTACTCGGCAGCTTCCGGGCCCGAGTGGCTGCGTAGCGGCGGGCGGGCGCGGGTGGGCGGGGGCGCGCTGAGTCAGCCGCAGGGGTGCACCCGTCGGAGGCCAGGCCGTGTGAGTGCCCCACCAACCAAGAGAAACTCAGAAGCCCCCACCGCGCTGCGGAAATTGGCCGTCCGATGTCTGTCCAGTGAGCCTGGCGAGATCCCGCCGCAGCAGCGGCAGCAAGAGGCTCACCCGTCGTACACAGCGAAGAAGCCGGCGCGTCTGAACGGCGCAAAAGCCGGCAGCGCGGTGACGTCACACGCCGTCATGCGGTCCTCCATGTGCGTGCGCCCGTTCTGGTCCGAGTGGCTGCCGCAAGACCACGGAGAGGCCCACCAAGGGCCCGGCTCCTCGGCTGCCGCGACAGGTGTTGGCTACAAATGGCAGGGCGGGGCCAGGCACCGCGAGGGGGCGGCAGCGGCGAGGGTTGGTGCAGGGAGAGCGCGCGGAAGCGGAAGCAGGCTGACACGCCAGCGGCCGCCGGGACCAGGACTTGCTGCTGCACGCCCCTTGATCCTCCAGTCATCCACATGGCTATCGCATGGCTACCACATAAGAGTCCCAAACCTCCAAAGGTGTCCAAATCCACCCCAACACGCCAGGCCCCCAGTGTGTGCGCAGCTCCGCGGGTCCCTGCGCACCTGCGTCGCGGTGCCCTGCTCTGTCGGCTCTGATACCCGCCGGCTCGCACGCCCCGAGTCCCCCAGCAGCGAGCTCCGCCGGCTGACTGTGCCTGCTGCAAAGGACACGCTCCGCAGCTCGCTCGGCGTCGCTGCGCTCGCGCTGCCGCCGAGCGCGGCGCCCCCGTCGTCATCCAAGCTGCTGCATGTGCCGAGGCTGCTGGCGGCGCTGCGGCACGCGCCCGGGTCTTGCCCGCCGGCGAGGCAGTGATGCAGGTGGCCCGACGCGCTCGACTGCAGTATCAGCTGCGGCGGCAGCGGCGGCCGGGGGACAGGGATCGGGGCCGAGGCTCTGTCGGGCGAGGATGCCAAAGCCACCGCCACAGCTGCCGCTGCCGCTGCCGCCGCCGGCACTGCTACAAGTGCAAAGTGCTGCTGCTCGTGTGGCTGCTGCTGCTGCTGCTGCTGCTGCTGCTCCGCGGCCTGCTGTTCTGCAGGCTGCCCCGACCACGACCTGTGATGGATGTTTTCATCAGGCTGCACCACCGCCGTCGGTGCGCTTCCAGGGAGGCCAAACGCGCCAGTGAGCACCTGCCCGCCATCTCCGCACTGAAGCAGCTGTAGCTGTGCCTCCAGGGCGCTCTCCTGCAGCAATAGCAGGAGGACCAAGATCGCCTGGGTTCTACAGGGCGTTCAAAACAGGTTCCGGCAATTGCTGGGCCCGGGTGTACTACATAAGCAGCATGTCATGCATGTATGGGAAGTGCAGAGTCGTACACAGCCCCCAGGAGGCACCACGCGCACCACCCTGACCCGACCTTCAAAACCAAAGCAGCCCACCTGCTGTGACCGAACCTGCTGTGACCTAGACAAGGTACCGAGCATGCCCTCCGTCTTCTTGGTTGCCTAGTGCGCGATAGGAGGCGCCATCGCTGATGACGCTGACTTCAAACAGACTGATACGAGGGTCCGAGCTTGTTATGTGATTTACGATGATGAATCAGGCTTTGCCAAACACATTTGTGGGGCATCACACACCGATGCAAACGTTGCATTCCTTGCAGCTGGGCAGGCCTGGGCCAAATAGTTGGGAACTCGCTCCTTATCGTAATAAAGCGGGTTGGCACTGGTGCTTGTTTGTATTTGAAGTATACTTGAACAAGACAGTGAAGGACGCTGTCATCATCCATCGACCTCATCCATCTGTGTCACGCGGGGCTCGCCCCGAAAGCAGCAAAGCACCGCCTGTCCAAACGGGCTTAATTAGAACGTTATCAAGGAGAGCTACGTAGGCAGTCAGTCCCCTGGCCTTCATCGCACCGCAGCTAGTGGCGCGGCCGCTGCTTCCCAGCTCCCACCGCACCACACACGCCGGCGTGGGCTCAGCGACCGGTGCAAGCGGCCGGAGGGGCCGCAGGGCCGGCGCTGCGCATACCCGACACCCTGTAAGATGGGCACGGAGGACGAGGAGCAGCTCACGCTGCAGAACAGGTGCCTTGCCGCGGCGGGCGCGGCCATTGCCGCTGCCACCGTCGTGAACCCCCTGGATGTCGTGAAGGTGCGGCCCTCTTTCTGAAGCGCCGCACAACTCCCGCTCGCAGCGCAAGCCGAGCACAGAGTCAGCAGCTGCGCCGCGGCGCCCGCTGCGGCGCCCTTGCACCGATGCTGCATGTGCGCGCGAGGAGCGCACCACTCCCACTCACTTCTCCCCCCTGCTCGACCCCACACCCTGCAGACCAGGATCCAAGCGCAGGCGATGGCGTCTGCCGGCGGCAGAGGCACTGCCATAGCGGTCAATGACCCCCAGCCGCTCGTGCACACCCTGTATGAGTGAGTACCTGGGCTGTGCCTTTCCCCTTTCCCAAAAAATTTTTTGCATGATCCACTCGAGCAACACCGGATGCAGCAGCACAAGCAGCCTGCAAGAGCTTGCATCCGCAATGGCGCCGCGCCACGCCGCCTGTGCGGGCGCACGCCCCCCGGTCCGACCTCGCTGCTGCCCGCGCCTCGCAACCCCCGCAGGCGCTGGGGCATCTGCGAGACACCCACGTGCGTGCGCCGCACGCCGAAAGGCCTGGCCTGCGGCTCGGCCTCCGAATCGGCGGCGTCCGCTGCGGCGCGGCGGGGCGCGGGCGGGGCGGGGGCGGGCGTCCTGGATGAGAGCATTTGGCACGCCATGCGGGCCATAGCACGCACGGTGAGCAACAGGAGGCAGCACAGGCGCGTCCGCCCATGGGGGTGGTTGCGCAGGCGGTTGCCTGCGCGAGCGGCGGGGGTGGCGGCGGAGCGCGGGCAGCGCGACGATTTGCAGGGACAGCGGGCGATCCCGGTGGACTAAAAACTCCCTCTTCCTAGCCATTTGTACACCCCTGCCACTGTCAACTCGCGGCCGCTGTTGCTTGGGCACGGGCATGCGCCTTGCAGCCCCCGCTCCCCCGGAAGCGAAC